AGGAGATTTTCGCAGATTGATTCCATGAGCGATGCTATGGCATGTGAGAAATGTAGCAGCCAAGTGGTCAATGTCACCAGCCTGAAATTTATAGACATCTTAACATCCATTGAACTGAAAGTGAAAAACAGTTTGTAAAGCACAAAGGAATAAGTAAGTTACCTCCCCAGAATGTGGCCTTAGTGTGATCGTTGTCATGCCCTTTGACTCTCGAAGCTGGAAATAAAAAAATAACAACTTACTCCATATGACACAGTTTTGAAATTACAATGTTAGTTCCAGCCTTGCAGTAGAAATCAGGAATGGTACCTTGTTTAACACATAGAGGTTAGCGTAACAGTAGTAGACATAGTAAGAAAATGCAGGATTGAATGCGTTAGTCCATTGAGCTGGAGTGGGCATGTGCTTTGTGGGACGTCTCTCAGGTTTGCTTTCATCATCGACCAAATCAAATCCAACAACCTTAATACCAAACAAGAAACCAGCAATCAAACAAAGAGCAATAGCAACAAGTTAAGCTAAATTTTTAATAGTTTTGATAGGTATAAGATGCTAACCTGCTTCAAAAAAACATGGAGCTGGGGATGCGAATCGGGATCTACGGTGGCTTCAAACAAAGGAATGAATATATTGTCAAGGATGTTTTGGAACGATGTCACAATACCCATGTCCTTGTAGATGTTGTACAGGCGTGGGAGCTAGTGAGCATACAGGCAAAACGAGGGAAACATAAGTCAGTTAGCAGTCATGTGACAAACAGACGGAGAGAGAGAGAGAAACATAAGAGTCAAAAAGATAGCCAACCTGAATTAACCAGACAACATTCTCACTGTATAGATCATTGTTCACAATCCAACTAGCCAATTGGTCCCACTCACTCATTTTTCTGCCGTATATAGATATTCTGTATTCAGCCATCTGCAGTGTTCAAAGTTACCTCATCAGGTTATCCATTGATTGTAATAATAGTGTTCTTCTGTTATCAAGACTACTAGATATGAACGTGGAGTTTACCTGATATTTGCTAGCTTCAAGGTCGGAGAAAACTTGTTTTGTTATCTCGCCAAGAAAACGACCTGAATCCAAAAACAAAGGACTCAAAAACTTATCTTGAAACCACCACAGTTTAACATATTTTTGTAGTGCATCACATGGTGAGGGAAAGTATATGTAAACGTAAGCAGCTGGTATATATGATATTGTGCATAGCCTACGTATCAATTGAACTAAAACGGTGTACAAAAGTATATTAATACCTTGGATGAGATTATCCTGTTTAAGGAAAATTTCCCTCAACCTACTTTGACCACATGGATTGTACTTGAGATTGAACTTGTCAAAGCGATGAAAGGTGCTCTTGTCAGCATGAACATCCAAAAGGTCGACATTCAGATCATATCTGTGAAAGGTTCAAAGAAAGAGAAAAAGGTTAATTTCTTCAGCGTAATGGTAAAATGGAATAAGATAGTAAGATACAGATAATGCATCATAACACAGGTGACTCCTCAGAGAGTAATTTAACAGTTTTGCAGTTAAATTGTGACATTTATAAATATTGGAAATGTAACATACCCAGTCAGATCCAGACTCTCAAAAACTTCTTTCAAGGTCAAATATGTTCCATCCCTAAATATGACAACCTGCATAGAGTAAAAAGGTTACCATACCTGCAAACCAGTAAATCGTATACTCACCTAAATCATATGGTTCCCAATAGTTACCTCATCAGGTTCTTTCCTGAGCTTCGACTTGATAAACCTTAAAAGGTGTTTCTGGTTCATGCAAGCTGAATGATGAACATGGGTATCGACTTTCCTAACGTTATAGAAATCACGATGTGGTGCACTTTTTTGAGCGAGAAACTCTTTATCCGCATTAAGCATCAAATGGAGATTAAATTTCTGTAACACAAAAAATAATGTTAACCAGATGAAACTTGCTTACTGAATTGATACTTATATAGTTAAAACTCTTACTTGTTCTAGGAGCACTAGTCGACGGTGGCACAAAGTCCTCATGTTTCCAGCAGCTATGACTTTGAGAACGTGATGCAAGTCAGTGAAAAAAGCTGTGGCATCAGCTACAGGGAAGAGCTCTTCTTTGACTGTGAATAGGGAAACAGAACACTGGTTATTATATTGGTAAAAAGAGAAGGAATGTAACTAAATCAACTTCCAATGCTTGTGGTCTTACCGTCTTTATTTGGAAACACATGGACTACTCCATCTTGCATCTCAAAATGATGCTGCCAAACAAAATCAAAGAAGTTAAATTCACCAAATGCATAGTAAATTTCCATGAAAGTGTGCAAATGGCTCTAAGTTAAGAAGAAATTCATCAAAAACTCACATCAGATTTTCCTTGAGGATAATGTGCAAATGGCTCTAAATTAGGCTTTGGGGTACTAGGATCAGATATGACTTCTTTTTCCCATGGCGCAACTGTTTCTTGGAACACATACCTCTTCCTCAATTCAAGACATTCTTGCAGACATTTATAGGCTTCAACTTCATCTGACGTTGGCACCTCTGAACAAATCATGTGTAAAGTATCAATAAGAAATGGACTGAACGAAATGTTTACGGTATAACTTTAATCTATGGTTTAGAGATTCAAAGGCTCAGCTTCTAAGCTTTAAATAACCCTTTATTTGTAGTGCCACTTAACTCATTTCCACTAGCCAATATTTTAGACTAGTGGGACTTTTACGAATAAACAGGTCATGATTTGTGATAACAGGACAAAAAACAAGTAATAACTCTTACCGAGAGGAACATTAAGACGAACAAAGGTCTCTTGCTCCGGCTCTTTACGAAGAATATCAGCAGCAATAGGATCAGGCTGAACTCCATGCAAGTCCCCAGACACACTGTGTGAACGAATCATGCTTGAAGCAGCCATAGATATTTGTTCTTCAGTAGCATCCGCAGGCTGCACAAGACAAAAAAAAACATACTTATAAGCCTATTGCTTTGCTTACTCAATCAACAAAAAACAAGGATTGAATAAGAAACACTCACCAAGTCCCCATTAGCTTGCAAGTAAGAAGCATCCAAACCTGCACTATCAGTCAAATTATCTTCATCATCCGATTCTCCCATGCTCTCGAAGGCACTAGCACTGGCCACAGGAGACTTCGGAGAGATTGGTCTAACAAAGCTTCCAGTTTTCCTGATACTATTAGTCCCGTGTACAGAAGATCTCCCTGTAAAACATCATCACAAACCTTCAGAACATTGAAAAGACACTAAACCCAAATAAAAAGTTTGGATTTTTTTTCCGATAAATCAAACTTAAACCATGTTCAAACTCTAATCTGATCAATCAACACACTGAGGAACCAAAACACACTTAACTCAGGATTAAAAATTGGATCTTTTTTCCGACAAACATGTTCAAACTCTTAACTTATCAATCCACGACACTCAGAGGAACCAAAAGACACTAACCCTGAAACAAAAACTGGATCTTTTTTTCCGACAAACATGTGCAAACTCTAACTTGATCAATCCAGGACAATCATAGGAACCAAAAGACACTAACCCAGAAATAAAAATTCAGATCTTTTTTCCGACAAACATGTTCAAACTCTAATTCGATCAATCCACGACACTGAGAGGAACCAAAACACACTAACCCAGAAACAAAAATTGGATCTTTTTCCGACAAACATGTTCAAACTCTAACTTGATTAATCCACGACAATCAGAGGAACCAAAACACACTAACCCAGAAATAAAAATCGGATATTTTTTCTCCGACAAACATGTTCAAACTCTAACTTGATCAATCCGCGACACTCAGAGGAACCAAAAGACACTAACCCACAAATAAAAATAGGATCTTTTTCCGACAAACATGTTCAAACTCTAAATATGATCATTACCTTCAGATGGAGTATGAAGCCTGGGCAAACCAGGAGGGATCTCATCGACATAAACATGGCCGTTACTACGCCCTGCATCGCCGCCACCACCGCCGCCATCGGTGGCTCCGGTGAAGGGAGTTGCATCTGGAAGAGAAGCTGGGCTGTATCCTTTCCTTCTGACTTGGCTTCTCCGCCTCGAAAGGCTCTGACTTTGATGCTGTGGAGAGTCTCCTCCTTCGGTGGTGTTGTTGTCTTTCTTCTCTCTACCACGCTCGAGGACGAGATTCAGAGCCTTGAAGTGCATAAAGAACCCTGAAACGGCAACGAAGGAGGCTCCAAAGAGAGCCGCGAGAGCAAGTTGGTAAATATTGGGTTCCATAATCCAGACAAAATCTCTGTTTGTGTGTTGAGGTCAGAGTCAGTAAGCCACGAGTTTGGTTTGAGTGGCGATTGCTGGCTATATGATGAAAGAAGAGAAAGGTTTTCTGTTTTTAGATATTTATAGGCCCATCCAGTGTAACCACGCCACTTGCAGGCCTTTTTGGTCTTGATGAAAGTAAAACTTTTTTAGGGTAAATAATTCATTTAAATAAGAAAAGTAAGTGGTGACACATAACAAACTATATAGGACAAATTTTAATTATTTCATTAGTGTTCAATTATTTCATACACTAACCTTTTTATGATAAGGTTTAACGCCAGATACATCACCCCCTGATCCTATGGAGAATTATGATTATAGAGACTTGTATCAGTGTAGAAATTTTCATAAGAAACTATGATTTTACAAGTGAAGAGTCCATTTAAGATTTTACTAGTGAATACTCAAGAGTCCATTATAATCCAGAGAGGGATTTGGTTTAACACAAACACTGACGCATAGTCAAAACTATAAGAAGATTAAGTTTCTAACACTCACATGTCAAAGAGTAAAAAAAAAAACTAGGAACAATGGAAGTTTTAACACTATCAGCTAAGTTAAACAGCTATGTTATTACATTCCGTTTACCCTGACCAAATCATTGTCATCCAACCTAAGTTAAACTGCCATAGGTAGTGATGTCGTCAAATTTTGTTAAGAGTTTATTCCATTAGCATATTTGGTAGTATATTCTTTTTTGCCAGCCAATCAAAAGATACTACAGAATGAGAACCGCCGCTTTATTCTTACTACAGAATGAGAACTTGACACACACACAAAAATTATTCATTACAATAAAATCAAAAGCTAAATGACTATTTCTACAAAATCACAAATGGTTGTTAACTGCAATTACATCAGAAAGAATGAAAACTGAAGTGGTTACCTAGGCAGAACACATAACTCTACATCACCAATGAAAAAGAAGAGAGACACACAAAAAAAAAAGCACATAAAAGTGATTTTTTATAAAACAATAGTGACACCTCTAGCACCATGTACATAAGAAGGATGAGCAGCTTCTTGATCTCTTTCAAACTGTTGCATCTGCGTTGCATGCCTCGTTGCATCAAACTTCTCTCCATCTCCCCAAAGAGCATAAGCTTCTTCTCCATGAGCAGCGTCGTCTCCAATCCCAAGCTCTTCCTCTGCCATTCTCAACGGTATGAACATCCTTATAGCAAGGAGTATAAGAGTCGTCGACACTAGGTTCCATGTAGCAATGAAGGCAGCTCCAGCCAACTGTTTCAGGAGCTGTTTGCCGCCATTGCCGCCGTAGAAAGCGCCGTTGGTGTTTGGGACAGGAAGTATCAAGACGCAGAGATCAGGATGTGCGAACAAGCCTGTCATTACTCCACCTAGTATTCCCGCTACTGCGTGGGTGTAGAATACCGCTAATGTATCATCTACCTGTTTATTTGACCAACAAAAATAAATAATTATTTATAAAACATACTAAATTCATAGTATTATATATGATATGAACTATTATCTAGTTTATACTAACACAAAACTCAATCGTATATAGAAAAAAAGAGTTAAAAATAGAGGTGAAGATATTTTACCTGTTGGAGGAGAGTAGATTTCTTGTGAAGGATCATCATAGAGGCCCATGGAATTGATCCTGAGAATATTCCAATTATTATGGCCGCCCATGTTTGGATCAACCCTGCAATATTTTTTGTTTGTTTAGTATAATATATAAAACCATGCAATGTTTCTGTTTGATTGTAACACAAGAGTCACCAACCAAACATACACACGTATCTCTAGTACATCTACAATCCCTAAATTATTTGTTACTAGTAAGTCTAACCATTAAGGGCTAATGTTATTTCTCACATATTTTTATGCTAATCAATAACAAACGAGAGACTATCAAGTTGAGGTTAGAAGATTGGGACCTGCTCCGGGAGTGACACCGGCTAGACCAGTAACCATGCCTTGTATGGCTCCGATGACTGAAGGTTTGCCAAAGAAGATAACATCGAGTGTGGTCCATACGAGGAGGCTTGTGGCGGCAGAGAGGTTGGTGTTGAGCACCGCGATTGAGGACGTTAAGTTGGCGGCGTAAGGAGCTCCACCGTTAAAACCGGACCATCCCATCCATAGAAGTCCAGCTCCGGCTAGCATTAAAAGAACATTGTTCGGTGGGAATCTTTCTCTGTCAGCCTGAGGCCTGGGTCCAACCTACACATGTCACACATATTGAGTTTAATTCAATCTAAAATTATAATCAACTCAATATCAATACTTTAAACGTGGTAGTCAGATAGTTATTGTATGGACGACTCTATTCTCACCTAGTGTTTTCTGACCGAATATTATTTTATTTCGCATAGTTATATTTGTATATTATGTAGACTATTGATTACTTTCTGTTTGTGGACCAATCAATCATTAAACTGACCTATAAATCTTAAAATTTGCATACGTAATCATCATCTCGTAAGAGAAAGCAAAACAAGACTTGGTATTTCAGGACAAGTCCAAATCAAAATATACCTATTAGAAAATTTCCAGAGTCTACGACCATGTCGTCTACAGTACATTTAAATAAAATCTACTAGTTTCAACAAACATCAATATATAAATATCTTGTTCTTGAATGTTTACCCACTATTTATTATTAAAATCAATTAATAGAAAAACAAAAAAATTATCCGAAGATTTTTATTCCAACATGATTCGAAACTAACCGAAAACCTACTACTGAATATTCAGTGGTAAAATAAACAAAAAAAAAATCGATTCTGAATTTATTTTGGTCACAAGTGGATAGAAACATTTAAAGATAAATGTACGAGAAATTTAAATGAAAAATAGACATATTTAATGTAGTTCTTGAAACGTACCCAGTAAGCGGCTACGAAACCGGCAACGCCGGAGGAGAGATGAATAACATAACCGCCAGAGTAATCAATGACTCCCCAGTGGTAAAGAAACCCTCCGCCCCATAGACTATAAGCTCCGACAGTATAGCTAAATATCAACCACAATGGCACAAAAGCCATCCACGCTTTAATATTCATCCTCCCCAGCACCGAACCGGCCACAAGTATCGTTGTTATTGCCGCGAAAGTGAACTGAAAATAAACCAAAGTCGCCATCGGAAAATAAGGCATCGTCGCTTCTCTCTCCTTAGTCCCGTTCCCAAACATCCTAACAGTTTCTGGAATCTACAAAGAAACAAAAAAACAAAAAGAGTTAACAAAAGAAATATCATTTATGCATTTTCTTACATAACATGCAATTCGTGGACATAAACACCTTGGCTTGTCCTTTGAGGTATCCTTGGTTGAAGGCGGGACCACCTCTACCCCAGAAAGGCAGAAGCTCATCTCCAAAAGCCATTTTGTAACAGAGGAGGACCCAACAGAGGAGAACGGCTGCGAAGGCGTAAAGAGCCATAAAAGCTGAGTTCACTGCCCATTTCTTCTTGACTATAGAGGCGTAGAGGATGACGAGACCTGGCATGCTTTGTAGACCGACCAGAGTCGCTGACGTGAGCTGCCATGCGTTGTCTCCTTTGTTGAGCCATTCAGGAACCGCCGGTAAGTTCGCATCGTAAGCTCCGGCCATGTCTATCTCTCCCTCTTTCCCGGAGTCTTTCCGGATTATGAGATGACTCTGGTTACTTGGGAGGTCTCAATTGTTTGGTAAAGTGCATGAGATGGTAGGTGTGAGAGACTTTAGTTATATTAATAATGATGTGTAAACTAGACAAGTCACACAGGTGGGGTTTCGTGTTTTGTTGTACTGTTTGAAGGAGAAAAGTCTTTGAAGTTCGATGCATATGTTTCTCATTCCTCTTCAAAGAAGCTTCTTTCATTATCTCTACGCGTTACTGAATCTGTAAATTTACCAGGAAAAAACAAATAGATGTGGACCATGTGGTGTGGACTTGATATTTATCTAACTTATAACTATTTTAAAGATTTTGACCGAGTTAGCAGAAAGCATGTGTTTTACTTTTAGGTTGTTGCAATTTTATTTTATCTTCTCCTAGTTGGTTTAACCAACAAAAAATATTCATCTCCTACTTGGTCTCTACTATATATAAGAATGAAAAAAAAACTTTGAGACTATATTTTTAAGTAGCAGCAAAATATTTGAAGATGAATTTGGTTATACGAAAAAGACATGGAGTGGTACACTTATGTAATTCGTAAAGTTATTTTGTCTTTTACATATATTTTGAAATTTGTTATAAACATTATAAAAATCACACTAGAGGTACATTAACGGATATAAGGTTGCAAGATATGTTTTTCCAAAAGAAAAAAAAATGATTACACGTTATGTTTCCACTTGATGTTTTCTCTCTAAATAGCTGTTGCGAAATTTCTCTAGTTTTCAGAAATTGATTTTGTTTAGTTCGTCAGTTTTGATCGTGCGGCCATGTTTAATACGGAACAAGTTGACCGAGTGATACATCGACTGTTTAAGAAGCAAAGATTCATTTGTGTGTTTGTAAAATAAAACTTGATACTGGCATGAACGTTGTATAACTTGTATTTGGTACGTCGACGGTATATAGATTCAATTAAACAATACAATCAGTATTATACTATATATTAACGAGACGTCCATTTCATACGGATACACTACCGTATTTTTATAGAATAAAACGTCTTCAATTATCTATTGGGGACTAACTGGACCAATGTTCTTAGAGCATCTCTATTACAAATATTCGCCGTGATTTATTCATAATTAAAAAATCTATGTATAATAGAAAACGAAAATAGACTTTTTAAGTTCTCAAACAAAGAAAAATAAAATAAAAGTTGGAAATTTCACAACCCCCCCCCCCCATGATATTACATATCGATGATTAATTAGTTCACTTTTCAAAAATGAATTAATTATATAATCAAGTTTATTCAAATATCATTTTTTTGTTTGAAAAAACTATTTAGAGTTTCATGGACAATGCTCTTTAATAGATTGCTTAAATTAAAACTATTACTGACTACTGAGTATGTGAACCAATCTTTTAATCATTAATGGAAAAATCCCAATTTTTAAAAATAAACCTGGTAATAGGTTAATTTGGTTTACAATTCATATTTACATTTGATTACACATTAGTTTATAGTTTAATCTATAAACAATAACTAAAAAAGATTTATGAGTTTCGACCTTTTATTGTATCTTTGACTTTAGTTCTAGGTTTAAACGTAAAGCAAGAGAAAAAATATAGCAAGAAAAAAAAACAACGTAAAACAAGTATATGATGTTTGTGACCAGACGAACATTATCCCCAACGCTCTGGTTGCAGATACAGTATATTGTGCATCCAAACCCATATGCACTAGACAGCTTATAGAAAGCCCAGTGAGCCCAACAAACAGCATACTTGCTGTATTTTGTCATCTCCTTGGGTGTTGTTCTACAGAAATGTTTCAATTGGAAAATGATCAAAAAGAGAATGCATCATATGAATTATGAAGTATAAACGTTAAAGGTAAGAGATACACCGAATGGAAAACCCGTCACCGTAAAGTTTAGTTGTAAACTACAACACCAAAAAATATTGATTTAAGAAAGGGTGAAAAATAAATATATATTTTTTTTATTTTTCAAATTAGGAGTTGACCTATTGAATAAAACCGTGACAACCCGTCCTGCATACCTAGATTCACAGCGTTGCAGCGCATCAATCCTACATATTAATTGATGATAGCTTATTTTGTAAAGAGCTGATAAATGGTGAAGTTTTGGATTTGAGCAACGCCAAACGTATCAATAACTTACCAGTAAATATGGAGACAGTTTTTCCAACGATGAAAGATTAGAGTCGTGTACTGTAACACTGTGAATTTCTACGAGATGGATTATCACAAGAACTCTTAGATCATCTGGTAGAGATATAAAAATCGTAGATTCAATTTCTGTTGAAAGAGATTTACTCTTCTAAAATAGTTAATTTAACATGGTTTAGGACTCGTCGTATGGAGATATAGGGACATTTAGATCCATAATTTTTAATCATTCAGAAAAACTTATACTTTGGTTAAACAATTATAAGAGAAATGGTTACGAAGTAAAATTAGGAAACTAAACATGTATAATAGTCAAGTAAAATTACCCTGTTCTAAGTTCTATGTATATAATTAGTTTTTTTTTTTCGTTAAAGGTATCCCCTATATATTAATTGAGGAACATTTGAAAAGATATAACCTCAATTTTGTATTAATTAAAAAAGACTCCAATGCATAGATGTCATTCAATTAGGTAGTCAATTAGATTCAGTTGAAAAATAAGTAAGTCCACATTGGATTTTTATAGGTTGCTAGATACATTAGTTAGTCAAACTATATGATATAATGATATGATATGCTATTTTCTTTCCATAAATAAAACCTACGGAATTACCATAAATGACTAATATATATATATATGACACTTAATGATTGTTCCCTAAGATATAATTACTATTTTATTTTATTTCCATAAATAAAACCTACGGAATTAACATAAATGACTA